GGGCCATCGAGCTCGCGCCGCGCCACGTTGCACGCGCGCACACCCCGCGGGCTGCCTTGTCGGCCTCGGCGCAGCCAGCGCGAGTCACATGCGCCCCGAGCACGCCGACGCTCATCCCGAGGCCGCCGACCCCGCCGCAGAACTCGACAACAACGAACCCGCGCCCGTGCAATCCGACGGGGGCCGACGCGCGCTGCAGCGCTGCAGCGACGCTCCCACCTGCGAGCCGGACCCCGACCGAGACGCCGCCGCCCCTCCCCAAGGCGTCCGTCGCCTTCGGTCTGCAGACGAGCGGCCGCCGCATGTCCGCGACCAGCAACGGGGCGCTCATCGTGCACATGACGAGCTCATCTCGCACGCGCCACCCGATCTCCGCCCGACTCGATGCGAAGACTCCTGCTGATCGACCTCCACGCCTCGTCGAGGCAACTCAATGCTTGGCGCCTGACCATGCAATTCGACACCCCGCGCCTGCGCCTGGACAAGACGGGGTTCCTTCTGGTCCAGGAGCCACGCCGCGAGCGTCACACGCCGCGGGAGCTTCTCAATGGGCAGCGCAGCTCGGCCATCTAGGCCGTCGACGCCCACCCCCCCCACCCCCCCCCCGCAGAACCCGACATACCCCATCTTGAGCGAGGCGGACACCGTCGTCGCCTCGAGCACCAGCCGCATCGCGGCCTGGTGCTCAGAGAGCGCCCCCTGCATGCCCTCCCACTCGGAGGCCTCGACGAACTCGGTCTCCTCCGAGTCGCCGACGCACGAGCTCCAGCACCACCTCTGAAGACGCGCCTCGCGGACAGGGAAGGGTTGGTCTCGCCGCAGCTCCCGGCCAGCAGCTGGCCGCGCGCCGGCGCGCAGACCATCCGCCGCGATATGTCTGCGCACGCGCTGCGCCACCCCGACCGCCGAGAATCACCATCGGGATGAGCAAGCTCACATCTCCTGGAACTCCGCCCTGCTGACCCACTGGCGCCTTGGCTTCGGGAAGGCGAACCACCGCCACCACCGCGGCGGCAGCGCATACAGGTGGAAGCACCTCGATGTGGCACCCCCCGAAAAGAGGGGCACCTCGGCGCGCATCAAGACAGCCTGGGCGCACTCCCCCGGCAGCGGCAGCTGTCGACGTCCACCGTCACGAGGGTCTGCCCAGCGTTCGTCGGCGCGAATAGTGATCAACCGCCGCTGCTGGCAGCGCCCGTCGGGCGCGCCTCCGCTCTTGGCCACGCCGAGAGCACCACTTCCAGGGCGCTTCCCGCGGATCACGGGGTCGTCGGCCTCCCCGATCTCCGCAAAGATTCCGCCGTCGAGCAGCTGACCAGTGATGCTGTCCCACTCAGATGTCGTCGCAGCGCACCGCGGCCTGCTCAACCTCGGGCCACTCCACGAGCGGCAGGATGAACTGGATCTCATCCCCGAGCGCCTGGCGCACTACGTCGCTGCAGAATTGAAGGCGGCCGCCCCTGGGTGCCCGCGGCGCCCCACGGGCGGCAACCCTGGCTCGATCTGACCTCGCGTCAGCTTCTCGGGCTTGGTCACGACGCCATCGCCGCGACCGGAAGCGGCGGTCTTGGCCGCGTCCCCCAAGAGATCCGCTGCATTTCCTCGTCGCACCCCATCCGCGAGCAAAGGCGCGGAGCTGCTTCCCCCACGCGCCGCGCCGCCCCCCGCCGGGCCGCCGCGCACCGCGGCGCGTCCGACGAACGCTGGTCAGCGACGAAGCCACGGTCACCGCGCAGGTAGCAGAACCATCTGCAGATATGCCCAGGCCCCGACCGCAACCTGCCAGCGGAAGGCGCGCCTCTCTTCGCCTCGCACCCAGTCGACGCACTTGGGATCGTTCAGGCGCCGGGCAAAGGCAGCGGCAAGACGCCCGACCCCCTCGCGGCACTCTCGACTGTTTGGCGCGGGGTGTCCAACGCCTGCCTGGCCCGCCAGCCCATTCGCGCGCCTGCATGCAGCGGCAAAGGTATCACTTGGAGGCCCACCTTAAATTGCCAACATCTATATTGCGAGTTCCTCAAGGCGTCGCCCTGCATCCTCTCGGCCGCCTCGAACTTCGCCTCCAGGATGACATGAGTCGCGGCGCGCATCGCCTGCCTCAGCCATTCCGGTAGCCCGTCTGCCGCATGAAGCCGCCACTGCCCGACGACTGGCGCCACGGCAGCCGCGGCGGCTGCGCGCCGGCCGTCGGCGCATCCGGCACCCCGCCAGTCGGCGCGCCCACTGCGGCTTGCGCCAGACCCCATCGGAGCGAGCAGCGCCGCCCTCGGCATGGGCTGCGGCGGCGGGAACGGCGCGGAGGAAGGCGCCACCGACTTCGATCCGCTCTTCCCCTTGCCCGTCGGGCCTCGTTCATGGGTCGCCTGCGCCTTCGGCTTCGGCAGCGCCGTCGGCTTCGGCATCGATGCCTGCCCAAAGCTGCTTCGCCCGCCTCGCTGCCTTCGACCGTTCGTTCCTCCGCTTCTTCCACGATGGCGCGCTCTGGCTCTGGCAAGCGGGTCGGGCATCGGCCCCAACACACGGAATCCGCCCGGGCTGGCCCCCCGCCCCCCCAACCTGGCCCCCCCGCCGCGTTCGTCTGACGGGCCACCTCGGGCGGAGCGGCTCCCCGACCGAGGCCCCCGACCCTCCAGCGAGTCTTCTCGCCCCGATTCGCCTTGTCCTCGATCTCGTCGAGCTTGGCCCCCTAGAATTCCCACGGCCCGACGGGCATCTCCTCCGAAGGGGGCTGCGAGACCGATCGAGCGTTTCGGCATCAGCTCGCACTGCGAATCCAGCGCCCGGCTGCCCCCCTTCACCACCACCTCGCAGCTCTCGAACCGCCGCGCGCGCAGGCGCGTGACCCGCGGGAGGTCGCCGAGGAGCACGGCATCGAACACCTTGGCGAGCGCCCCCATTTCCAGACCCAGCTCCCCCAGCTGCTCGGGGGGCCGGACTGCGTGCACCCCCGCCACGAAATTCGTCGCAAACCGAACTTCCTGCGGCATCGGCCCCGCGGCCACAGCTCTCCCTCGGGCGCTCAAATAGCGGCAATTAGCGCTCGATCTTCTCGATTGCCAGCTGCGGAAGCTGCCCCGGATACCGACGAGCGCACGACACAAGGTCTTCGCCCGCCCGAGTGAGAGTCACGCCGAAACCCGGCCCTGCACCGCCCTTCTCGTCGGCGCCACGCATCCTGCTGGCGGCGGGCGTCAGTCTATGCCCCGGCCTCGGCTTCCGATCATCCCCGGGCGGGTTCGCGACAGCCCGCGCACGATGCTGCGCCGCGCGCTCGGCCAGAGCTGCGCTGGCGCCCATCGCAGCGGCAGCGGCGCGGGGATCGGCCCCCAACGCCACGGCGTCGAGCGTGAGCTTCGACCTCAGCTCCCCGAGACGCCTCTCCAAGTCTGGCCTGCGGTCCCCCGAGACGAGGCCGTCGTCGGGGCCCTCCTCTGCGTCGTCATCGCCGGCGAAAAATGCCAACCCCCCTGCGGGGTCACCTCTCGGGGCTTCGTCCCGTTCGCTGACAGGCGGCGCCGGGCGCCCCTCGACTGGCGGCGGCAACATCGATCCTGGCACGCCCATGTCCAGCCGAAGACGGTACGAATCGACGTGGACCAGCTCCCTGCCCGCGTCGAGCGTCGCGACGTCGCAGTCGCCCGCCGCCCCGTCGCAGAAGTGCAGGAGCCCACTGCCCCAAGGGACCTCATGGCACGGAGGGAGATCCCGTTCACGATGTCCACAAAGGCGCATTCCAGGAAGTTCGTCCTACCTTCGATCGTGAACGAATCACCCTTGGCCTCAACGAGAAGTGCCTCGATTTGCCACGACACTCTCTACTGCACTCGAGCACGCCCCCTTCGCGCTCGACCGAGTGGAGTATACCACTCCTCCTGGTCGCTCGTCATCCAAGGCTCCAGACGACGCGTTTCGGGCCGCGCCCGAGCCTTCGCCTTTGCTGAAATTTACACGGTAACGCGGATCATAGTGTATACGGGATCCTGGAGTATACATGTTTCGTCGTTTCCCTTGGAAAACGGGGAAGAAGTAGACACCACACCACCCCGACGTCGTCCCCGACCCTCAACAAGTCGTGGGACTGAAGCAAAGCTCGCCACTGGTGATGCACATGTTCCAAATTCCGAAACAGGATCCTCATCATCCTGATCGCGGCTCTCCCAAGCCTGGATTTGGACGCCCGAAATGGGTACAGAAAGAATGGGTACAATGCCCAACAACAAATGTTGTCCCAAACCAACAGCGGCCGCTGTCGGGCAGGCGGCCTTCTGTCTCGAATGGACACAGGCCGCGGCGGCGTGGACATCGAGTCCTGTTCAAAATGAACTGGATCCGCTATTGGGCATTGTACCCGTTCTTTCCGTGCCCATTTCTGGCCATCGCTCGGACGTCCAGTTCCTGTGTTTTTTCGGTTTCGTGCGTGGGTTTCTCGCCAAATGATCAAGGATGCTCCTCGATGGTCCTCGCCGAAGGAAAAATGCACACGCCCGAGCGATGCCAGGATTGCGTTCGTGCAGACTGGAGACACGGGTGCCGAACGCAGACGGCCCCCCCGTGCCCCCTCGAGCAGCCGCCGTCCAGGACTGCTGGGCAGGCACGGCGGCCACGGCCGGCGCTCCAGACCTGCCCTCGCTGCGCGGACCCCTGGAGGTCTGGACCGGCTCTCCGAGGCCTGTCTCTCACTCCGAGCCGTTCTTCGACGGTCCTGAGGAGGAGGAGGAGGAGGAGGAGAAAGAGGAGGAGAATAAGGAGGTGGAGGAAAAGGACGAGGACGAGGGAGGGGGAGGAGGAGGAGGAGGAGGAGGAGGAGGAGGAGGAGGAGGAGGAGGAGGAGGAGGGGAGGAGGAGGAAGGAGGAGGAGGAGGAGGAGAGGAGGGAGAGAGGAGGGGAGAGGAGAAGAGGAGGAGGAGGAGGAGGAGGAGGAGGAGGAGGAGGAGGAGGAGGAGGAGGAGCGAGCCTTGGCTATCTCTGGGGCGGGACTCGCCGCAGGCAGCTGGGGATACTGGCGTTATCGCGCTCTCCCCCGACTCCCTCCTCGACAGGTCGTCCACCTCGCTCATGGGCGGCGAGCCCTGGGCAGACGGGCCAGCATCGAATCGAGAAGTCGGATCCAGTCGGAATGTGCGCCAGATCGGACTGCATTGGCACGGGGCTGGAATCGAACCTGATCGCCTGCGCGAGGATGCACGGCAAGCCATGTTATCATCTGGCCGCGCCGGATCGGCGCAAAGCCGGAATCGAATCGGGCCAGCCGAAGCAGACATCCAATCGGATCGACAGGATCAAAATGGGCCCTGCCTGGGTGGCCCAAGGAAGTAGGCATCGAATCGGATCGGGCCAGCCGAAGCAGAATCGAATCGGATCGGGCAAGCCGAATCAGATATCAAATCGGATCGACCGGCATACAAATGGACCCTGCCTGGGCGGCCACGCTCTGGCAGACGGCCCCATGGAAGTTGCAGCTCCCCACCGAGCACTGCGAGGGCGTGACCTGCCTCGCTGGGCGAGCGCACCTCCGCTGCAGGTCGGCCACGACGCGCACGAGCAGCCTCCGAGCATCGGTCAGCAGTCGTCGTCGTCGTCGTCGTCGCCGCCGCCGCCGCCTTCTCCTCC